AGTAGTAGTAGTAGTAGTAGTAGTAGTAGTAGTAGTAGTAGTAGTAGTAGTAGTAGTAGTAGTAGTAGTAGTAGTAGTAGTAGTAGTAGTAGTAGAGCTAGCACTAGTAGTAGAGCTAGCACTAGTAGTAGAGCTAGCACTAGTAGTACTTGCAAGCACTACTAGCAGTATTAATACTAGTACAACAAGTATTATACTAGTACTAGTAGTAGTATTAGTACTATGCTGAAAGAGAGAAAAATTGCTGAGTCCTACTTTTTCTTCTTGTTGTTGTTCTTTGTCACATTCTTATTATGTTGGTACTAGTACTAGTAGTAGTACTAGCTACTACTGTAGCTAGTACCCTTTCTGTAGCATGTTGAATTGACACACCAGTTAATAAAATGAGCAATCATGGTGCGTTTTAGGTTCTTCAGGGCCCCTCTTTTCACCATCTTTCCATGCTTCAAAAATTCTTCTATGGAGATAATTAGTTGTATCATTTCAATTTGTTTCTTGATGAAATTGTTGTCCTGGATAACTTCCAACCCAAGTTTGGAGGATATTGCAACAAGAATTGATATAAGTATACCAGAAAAATCATGACCTTCTTTTTTGGTTGTCAAGAAGAGGTGTTTCTTCCCTCATAAGCTCCTTGTTTGAGAGTAGAGAGTATAGAGCATCATGAACGGACCTAACATACACCTGTGTTGGTTTGTTGTCTGGAAGCCAGTTGACTAAGTGTGGGTGAAATTTCATGTCAGAAATACCAAGGCTACTCCTGAGTTCTTTGAATATTGTCATTCTGCAATGGGGATTAGTATCACTGAAGTCAAAAACTGTTCAGTTCTGACTTTTCTGTGCCCATTTCCATATTGATGTGAATGTAGCAAGTGGAAGTTTGTGCTTGGTTTCACTAGTTCAACCTCTACAAGGAGCTGGGCAGATGGCTGAAGCATCATGTGATTTCAACAAAGTTTGTTGTTCTTCCTCTCTTTGATTGAAATCAATGGTTTCATTGGTTGGCTGTGACAGAGGAGGAGGGTCAGGAATTTCTCTTCTGCGTGTGTTGTTGCTATTGTCAAAAGTACATTTGCCATCACCGTTGCTGTTGTTGTTGTTGCTTTCACTGCTTCTACTACTATCATCGTTGGTTCTGTTGCCACCAAAGTCATCATTGTCTTGAGCAGAGGCAGCCATGTGAGATTCAATAAGATTTCTTTCCATTGGTGGGACAAAGGCATTGTGGATGACCTGTCTATTAAGTATGGAGTGTAGGTTGCTTGCTGAAGGCCTCGGCCCATGATTAGGATTAGTGAAATGGGATGGCAGATTTGGTCTGTTTGCAACTATTGTCAGACCAAAATCAGTTACAGAATGGTGAATGGGAGGAATAGATGTTTGCTCTCTAATTGAAGTAGAAAAATTGATGTCCCTTCCGATAATGAGGTTCTGAGATTTGTAGACAGAAAAGCATTCTCAATTGTGTGAGATATGTCTTTTTAATCCTGCTGCGACATATTTGACAGCGATGTGAGTAGTTGATTAAGATTTATAGCCTTTGAAGCAACTTTGATTTCTTCCCTTCTAGTTCCCAACAACCACAATAGTAGAACAATACAATAGGGGTTCTGGTTGCAGGGGGCACGAAAGTGGTACAATTTACAGCAACAACAATAAAAAGAGTAAATGAAGAGAAGAAGAATAGGGACAACAATGGAACAAAAGTTTGATTTGATGCAACAAAAAAAGATTTTGTTCAGTGTATGGAACAAATGATTGCAGATTTAGTACAGGATGGGTTCTGTACCATACAGATGAAGAAACATCACAAAAGGAACAAGGGTCAGAAATGATATTGTATGTATCCCTAACCTTGAATGGAGTAAATACTAGACAAATAATCTTCATTCCAATTGGTCAAATCAGAAGTTTTTGGAAATTGATGTGATGTAGAGGACAAAAGCTTTCTCAAATTACATGCCCCTGAATCGTGTGGTGTGATAGCATTGGTGGTGTACTAGAACTACCAAGAACAATGTACTAGTAGCTACAACAAAGTAGCATGAGTAAATGAAGAAAGCAGATGGTACTACTAGTAAAAAGTAGTAGTACTGTAGTACTACACACCACAGGTGCAAAAAGGTTGTTATCACAGCCACCATGACACTAGATCATGTACACATGGTGAGGATACTACTACTATGTACTAATACTAGTAGTACTAGTAGTAGTACTACCACTGCTACTAGCTACTAGTAGTAGTAATAGTAGTAGTACTAGGCTACCACTGCTATACACAAAGATTTGGATTTTAAGAGCTCTCCTCTTAATATATCAGCACAGCAGTTTTTGAACCTTGGAAAGGAGTAGTGGGAATAGCTGTTGTCTCTTGATTTGTTGTTCTTCTTGTTAGCACTACTAGTAGTAGTAGTAGCTAGTAATAGATTTCTTCTTGTCTGGCATGTCCTTCTTACCAAAGGGAGTGGATTGCTTCTAACACGAGTATTGTGGTGATAACCTTCAGGAATATTACAATTGCATGGTCTTGCAGACTTCACCCAAATGCAATCAGGTGATCATGGATGTGCACTTGAAAAAGTTGATCCCATGTTCTTTCTTGTTTTGGATGTGCATCGTGATGAAATGAGGAGCTAAATGTGGCGACAAACCAATGAGAGTTAATAAGACCGCACCTATTACAAACAACCTTTCAGAAAGGCGATACCCATTTTTGCGATCATTAGTGTTGTGATTGTACTTCTAAAATCATATGCACACATTTGGTTGTCTGTATCAAACCGGATTAATTGGTACAACTATCAAAGTCTAGCCCTAATCTTGGTTTAGTGGTAAAAAGAGTTACCATTCATGAGCGATAGCATTCAGGATTCAACTCGATCTGGTGTGGGTAGTATATGAATATAGAAGGAATTCATGTCGTTGTATTGTTCTATACTAATAATACGAATACTGCAAAAACCATGCAATGAACCAACACAGGAGGAATCTAAGGAAGGTAAGGGAATCCGTGTCCGGTGATGGCGGCTCCGGTCACCATACCACCAATGGAGATCATTGCCAAACGTCCATTCTTCAATTCAGCGAGTTGGTATTCCTTGAGCTTCTCGGGATCTTGTGGTTTCAAACCCAAAGGATCAAATCCGTAGTCACCAGGGGCACGGTCGTATTCGTTCATGTTGGCCAAAGCGGGGAAAGTGCAGGCCTCGACGAAGGAGATCCATCCGAAGATTTGGATCATGGAAGTATTGGCCAAGGCATCGTGTGCATCGATGACATTGGGGATGGAGTCGAAGCTGAATTGCTCACCAGGAATTCGGACGAATTCGGGAATAACGAAACCGACGGTTGCCAACATGGCAGCACGTCCGTGCTTCAATTCGGCCTCACGGTACCATGGGACCCATTCGGGAGAGCGCTATTTTTCGATATGAAAGCAAAAAGTAAAAGACAATTAAAAGGAAGCAGTCGAGACAAACGAAAATATCGCGTGAGTCTACCAGATGAAGGCATCACATATTTCTTTCTTGTTCCAGCCCTTTCTTCGTCTGCTGCTCTGTACTGCGTGAAATTGAGATTTTCTTATCGACAATAATCTAACCGCAATTGGGCATGTAAGCATACACTACTCACCCCGCAGAAGTCCAAAGGATCCCAGTTGGCGGAAGTTTGTTGGATACCCGCGAAAGGGATGGGTTCAGGACCTTCTCCACCAACGTAACCTCTGCAAAATTCTTCGTTCAGCTTAGTGGATGCTCTGGAGGTAGAAACAGGGGCGAAGGCGCCTGCTGTTCCGGCAAGGACGGCAGCTGCCAATAGCATAGATGATTTCGTCATGGTGAAAAATTTGATTTGTTGGATAAATATGCGACGGAATCACAGCAGATAGTAGTGACCAGGTTTCCTTCTCGTGAGATGGAAACTCAGAAGGAGGGATCCTTGATTGAAGATGGGGGAGTTAGAGTTTGGGCTGCACATTTTTAACACGGAAAATCGCGCACATGATATTACTACGAAAAATGCACGCCGATCTTTGCCTTCAACTTGCTTCGGGTCGGACTGATTCGATTAGAGATTTTTTTCAAGCTTCCATCGATAAAACCGTCTGTAACATACTTCCTAGTACATTATGTACGGGTACTTAGTTCTGATCTCTGAAAACGACTTGTGCTTTCGATCGAGATTTACAAACAAGAACCACAACAATACATCAAACTACTCCACGATGAAGACTGCAGCCATTCTCGCCCTTATTGCTGGCACTGCCAGTGCCTTCACTACCTCGAATGTGAACTCTTCCCCTCGATCTGCCACGCTATCGGCTGCTGTTGACGATATGGTCGGCGCTGTCGATCTCCGAGGCAAGGAATTCTTCTTCGATCCTGTACGTTGCCTCGCTGATGATGCGTTCCAAGTGGGGTCGCGTATTCTTTCCTTAGTTAGATTATTTCACAGCACTGTCCGAGTAGTTGGTTTCTATTTAGAATCTTCCATTTCTAGACCTCGTTCTGGTCTTCTTTGTACTGATTGCCACCGCAATTTTACACGTCCCTTCCTCACATCAAAGTGTTCTTTTTATCGTTGCTGTGCTTCTTTGGTCAACTGATTCTGCTCACTTCAGTTGGGACTTGCCGAAACATACAGCCCTTTCCTTCCTTGGTTCCGCGAGGCTGAATTGCGTCACGGCCGAACTGCTGTAAGTACTACTATCTGTGATCTACATCACTAGTTCACCCTTAGATAAGTTGATTGTGCGCAACTCCTGTTCAGTTGGAGAATTCCAATGGTACATTTCTAACATGCATAATTTCGTCTTTCTTCCCTTATTCGTTTGATGTGATGCATATTTGGTATAAATGCGAAAATAACGCGTTGTTCCTTTTTTATCCTTTTCTGAATTAATTTTGTGCCGTGAAATCATCACCCGATGCAGATGTTGGCTGTCATTGGATTCATTGCCACCGATTTCGTTCGCATCCCTGGTGAAATGTACAGCTTTGATGCCATCCCTAAGACCATCAACGCCCACGATATCTTGATCGAACAAGGTCCCATGATCCAACTTGGTATGTGGGTCGGTCTCTTCGATCTTATCGTCACCGCACCTGCCTGTGCCGCTACCATGAATGGCGAAAGAGAAGCCGGTGATTTCGGATGGACAAAGTGGGCTCCTAAGGATCAAGAAGCATTCGACGCCAAGCGAGCTTCTGAACTTTTGAACGGACGATTGGCCATGTGCGCCGTTGGAGGAATCGCCACCCAGAGTGTTCTCACAGGAAATGGATTCCCTTACCTTTTTTAAATTGATTGATCTACTATCTTGCTTGAGAGATAATGAATAGACAAACGAACAAATGAGCAGTCATTCTTCGCAATTGGTGGTCACGAGTAGACTATTGTAAACACTTTTTTATGATAACATATCTTCTCGCTACTTTTAGATTGTCTTTGTAGTAACTTAAAGCAAATCTGTATACATCATGCCATCCGGAAGATGATCCACTTACTGCAACTCAATAAGTAATTGGCATATCTGTCCTTGGGATTATCACATTTGTAAGAGAACGAATTTCGCGTCAGTGAATTGGAAGGCGACATCGTACCGTAAGCTGAGAAGACTCGTAGTACCTTTGTCTTCAGCTCTATCCGACTGGTTTTCCCATTTAAGATGCTCAACAGAAAACGCCCTCTTTTGAATACTTGCAAAAATTTAATTAAAGGGTATGAAGTCTAGAAGAGAATTTTAAAATGAATCGTAGCTAGACATCTTCAATTTAAATTTTAGTAGAATTTAAGTGATAATTCCTTCTCGCCCCACTGGAGTTGAGAGAGTCGTTGACAAAGACATTTGAAACCCCACATCGAACGAACGAAACTAGTGCCGTCTCCTTTCGCCGTTTCCAGAAATTCGATAGCACGTACTTGCGGCTTTCTGTTTATTTCTTCTTTTTCTTGTTTCTCTTCTTTGCAGCTTTCTTTGCGGCCTTCTTTGCTTCCGCTTCGGCGATCTCTGCCAAGATCTTTTGCGTTTCTTCGTCGGCCTGTACATCGGTTTTGAAGTACTCAGGAAGCTTCAATCCAGTTACTCTTGCTGTTCCAGATGGCAACAAAAGAACGGTGCATTTAAAGTGGCAGACCTTTCCGGAGTAATCGTGCAGTGAAGGGTAAGGAGTTAATAGTCCGTGTGCAACGCATTCGTTGATTCCAAGCTTGGCGGCACGAACATCGGTCAAATCGCGCATTGTGAAAGGCATGGTTGGGTACTTCTTATCAACCTCAGCAAGGGTTTGGCGAGCAGCCTTGACCTTGAGCAAGTACTGCTGTTCAACGTTGCGCTTGAAAACGGTGGTTCTCATGGTGCCTGGTCGGGCCTTACCATCTCCGGTAGACATGGCGACATCAACTGCGTAGACCTCAGCTTGTTCAAAGGTGCAGTCTGGGACCTTTTCTTCCTCGGGATCATCTGGTAGCGGTTCTTTGAGGGCAACTTCCTTAACTCCATCCAGTACGTATCGCTTCATTTGGTGCATTCGGACGGACGAAATTGGGGTGACGCCGTACGCCTTGGCGACCTTGTCAACGGCTTTCGTGACGTCAGCGTTGGTCTTTCCGGCAGCAATGGTAGCAGCAGCTACCAACATAGCGTTGTAAGTAGCTACGGCACATTTGGCGAGTTCCTCGTCTTCCGGTGGGGCTGGGCTGTCGGCGGTTTCCTTCACGACAACGGTATGGGCTGCGACCGCGATGTACCCATCGAGGTGGCATCCCAAATCGAATTTAACAACATCACCGGCTTTCAAAGGTGTCTGTTATCCGGTAGGTGGCACGTGGACGAACAAAGCAGAGAGTGAGTCGTTGGCTTAGCATGAAGTTGTCAATTTTTCTTCACAACGAACGAGCGAAATGTGGCGTCCGTTTCTCCACATATGCGCAAGGCAACCATGCAAACAGAGGGTCTTAGTAGGATTTCGATCAAGACTGTCGTCCGATGAATTTCGCTACGGAACGCAACATGCTGGTGTAATCGGAGAAACGGTCGGATGGCAGGAGCGCATCAAGCATAAGAGTCCTCCAAGCAAACACCGGGATCGACCCAGGACCGCAAAGCCGAGGGTGATACGACCGGGGCTCGTTCTATCGAAGTGACAGAACCAAGGGAGTCGTCTTTTCTTCTTTTATCTTCCTGTCTTTTTGATGATCTGCGGATCAGTCTCAGATCGCCGCTTTGATCTTCCGTAAAGGATGAGTCTGAAGTCAAGCAATCTCGTGACCCGCTTGTGTGCGATCGGACAGGGGAATTTCGTACTCAAACGAATCAAATCATCAAATAATAGCTAATCATCTAAACAAGCCAAATACAAGTAGCGAAACAATCACATGACTGATCAAATGACGTCTGAAAAAAGAGAAGGAACTCACCATCGCAATTGATTCTGGTTCGGGATCGTTGAGGGGACTGCAGTTGCAAACGATATCATTAACACTAACGCAAACGGGAAATGCAACACCACGGTCGATCGCTACTCCGTTAACTTTCTTAGTATAAAGCTTCGATGCCGCGGTTTCCATAACGGTAGTACCGAATTTGCAAAGGTCCAATACTTTAGCACCAACGACAGTCTGAGCAACGAGACCCTCTAGTGTGAGGTTCACGATCTTCGATGCCTCTTGGTATTTTGTGCACACATCACTGTGTTGATTTATTTTCATCGCCAACAGTGTCAGAAAAAATAAGTGAATGATTCTATTTGGATTCTCGTTCCTTCAAAACAGAAGTGACGAGCATGAATTCAGTGCTGTAGCACCAACAACATCAACGCTAGGACACGTACCTGTTGGAAAGATCTGTGACTTCTTCTTCCTCGACTTCTTCGGAGGCGGCGCTGTACTCGTCGTCGGACATGATTGACGTTGTTGTTGATTAGAAGTTGAATATAAATTTAACTTGTGTCTTGAGAAGCGAACAACGTCGACTTTCGCTAGGGTATGTATTCGTTGTACTACTCCTGATAATGCATTCCGAACAGATCTCGTTCCAGTTTGCATGAGTGGTACAGAAGGCAGTTTTCATTGCGGTAAGTGACAAAAAGAAGCATCAGCGTCCGTGTGGTTGAGGAAATGTGGGTCCCGGCAAGATTCACTGACAACCAAAGGTTCTGCCCGTCTCCCTTCCTGCCCGCACAATCGACATCCGCGTGTGAAGTGGAAGGGGGAAAAAGGTGCTGCGGCGGTTCTTCTGATAACACGTACTGCTCCTACTGGTACGGTCCAGCATAACCGTAATTTTTGGCTGAATACTCAACCCCAAATACCATTTGCTGGTACGTGATGTTTGCGCGTAAGTTTGGATTGGTAGATTCTTGCATCGTTTCCGTGAAAAATAATGTATCGTTTCTCTTTTCCTTCTCGGACGTTCTCTCAGAGCAAAACCTTATCATTTATTCGTCTTCATACCGTAGGACAAAAACGATCAGATCCTGAACCCAAACTTTTCAAATCGAAAGAGAAAAAGGAATAGTCTCGGAATCATGAGCGAAGAACAAAAGGAATTGGAATGGCCAATGAAGAAGGTCCGATCGACCTTCATTGAATTTTTCGAGAAAAAACATGGTCACACGTTTTGGAAGTCGAGTCCTTGCGTTCCCGTCGACGATCCCACTTTGCTTTTCACCAATGCGGGTATGAATCAATACAAGCCTCTGTTTTTGGGAACCTGTGACCCTTCTTTGCCTATGGCAAAACTGAAGCGTGCCGTGAACTCCCAGAAATGCATCAGAGCAGGTGGAAAACACAATGATTTGGACGACGTCGGAAAAGATGTTTATCATCACACCTTTTTCGAGATGCTTGGAAATTGGTCCTTTGGAGATTACTTCAAGGAAGAAGCGATTGCCATGGCTTGGTCGTGCCTTGTTGACGAGTTCAAACTCGACACATCTCGTTTGTACGCTACATACTTTGCTGGAGACGAGATGACTCCTCCCGATCACGAAGCACGAGATATCTGGTTGAAATACTTGCCGGCCGAACGTGTCTTGCCTTTTGATGCCGCAGACAACTTCTGGGAAATGGGTGCCACCGGACCATGCGGACCATGTACGGTACGTTAATTCGATTTATTCCGGAACAACCCTTTCAAATCAAGTGCATCGTTGGCAGAAAAACACTTTTTATTGTTGTTGCATCCAGAGGTATCGTGTCATCTCATGATTTCAAATTCATTTCTCTTGTACCAAACCAACTCTGCTGATCTTTAACCTCTCTTCGCGCAACATGAAAATGAATTAATCATGCAGGAAATCCACTATGATCGAATCGGAGGAAGAGATGCTGCGAAATTGGTCAATGCTGATTTGCCCGACGTTATTGAAATCTGGAACAATGTCTTCATTCAGTTCAATCGCGAGGCAGATGGAAGTTTGCGACCGTTACCTGCTCAACACGTTGATACCGGTATGGGTTTCGAACGGTTGACCTCGATCTTGCAGGGTGTCGACTCCAACTACGACACGGATATCTTCATGCCGCTCTTCGAAGAAATTCGTCAGTTGACAGGAGCCCCACGTCCGTATGGAGGAAAGGTCGGACCCGAAGAAGACGATGGGTTTGTGGATATGGCCTACCGTGTCATCGCTGATCACGTGCGAACCTTGAGCTTCGCCATTGCCGATGGAGCCGTCCCTTCCAACGAAGGACGAGGTTACGTCTTGAGACGAGTCCTGAGACGTGCCGTACGATACGGGCGACAGAATCTTGGTGCGGAGCTTGGATTTTTCAGCAAGCTCGTTCCAAAACTCGTGGAAATCATGGCAGACACTTTCCCCGAGATCAAAGAGAAGCAAGACTTTATCATATCTATTGTCAAAGACGAAGAGGAATCCTTCTCGCGCACGCTCGACAAGGGATTGCAGAAATTCAAGGATCTCGCTGCAGCTGCCAAGGCAGAACAAGGCGAGAAGGCCGTCTTCAGCGGCAAGGATGCCCATTATCTTTACACAACCATGGGATTCCCTGTTGATTTGACCGAGCTCATGGCAGAAGAACTTGCCATGACCGTCGACATGGAAGGTTTCGAACAAAAGATGAAGGAAGAGCAAGAGATCAGTCAGGCAGCTCACTTGGCAAAGATGGCCGGTGGGTCTGGCAAAGATATGCGAATGGTCGCTGAGCAAACTTCCCATCTTGTGAATACCCTCAAGGTTCCCGCAACTGACGACTCTGCCAAGTACGTAACAGATGCTGTTTTGGAAGGATCTGCCGTCAAAGCTTTGTTCATTGGTCGAGGAGAAACCGAAGACATGATCGGATTTGTTGATTCCGTAACAAGCGAATCGTCAACTGTTGGTGTCATTTTGGATAAGACGAGCTTTTACGCCGAGCAGGGTGGACAAATCTTTGACGTAGGCTCCATCATTAGTGCCGGTGGCGCTACCTTCAAGGTTGCCAACGTTCAACTGTACGGATCCTTTGTTTTGCACCTTGGAGAAATCGTCGAGGGAACCCTTTCGGTGGGAGATTCCGTTTCGTGCTCTGTCGACTATGTTCGTCGCCGACCCATCGCATCAAACCATACCATGACACACGTTCTCAACTATGCTCTCAGAGAAGTTTTGGTAAGCCGACCCACCGCTGCCGGAAAGGCACCAAGCGGTGTCAACGTCGATCAAAAGGGATCATTGGTCGACGAATTCAAATCACGATTTGACTTTTCGTGGAACGCTCAACTGACACCCAAGGAATTAGCAGATGTAGAAGCAATCTGCCGCGAGCGAATCGAAACCGAGGTTCCTGTCGATGCCTACGTTGCCCCCTTGGCCGATGCCGAGAAGATTGGTGCTCTCCGTGCCGTGTTTGGAGAGAAATACCCCGATCCTGTCCGAGTTGTTGCCGTAACACCTAGCCCCATTACCGATATCTTGGCGAACCCCCAAGACGCCACATGGAACCAGTACAGTGTTGAATTTTGCGGAGGTACGCATCTCACAAATACGAAGGAAGCAGAAGCATTTTGTTTGCTCAACGAGGAAGGTATCGCCAAGGGAATTCGTCGAATCACTTTCGTCACGTGCAACGACGCTAAGGCTGCCATCGCGGCCGCCGATGAATTCGAGAAGAAACTTGATGCCGCCTCGAAGTTGGAGGGAGGAGACGAGTTGGAGGCATTGGTGAAGTCACTGACTCTAGAATGCGACTCCTTGGTGATTTCGACAGTCAAGAAGACGGCCTTCCGCGAAACCATTGCAGGATTCTTGAAGAAGGTCATGACATGGAAGAAAAAGCGAATGGCCGGCATGAAGGATGAAATTGCTACCAAGGCTATCGAAGCCGGCGAGGCAACGGAAGGAAACAAGGTTGTCTTCCGATTCGACTTTGGCTGCGACGCCAAGCTCGGAAAGAATGTCGCCACCGCTTTCACAAAGAAAATCAAGGACAAGGCCATCATGATCATCTCGGCCGACAGCGATGCCAATCGTTTCCTTGTTTTGGCCATGGCACCCAAGGGACTCGATGTGGATTGCAAGGCTTGGTGCATGGGAGTCACGGAAGGAACAAACGGCAAGGGAGGAGGCAAAAAGGATAGCGCCCAGTTCACCGTGCCCGACGTTAGCCTGGTGGACAGTGTTATGGAAAAAGCAAAGCAATAAGCTAGGAAGCTAAAGACCTTACTGTATAATTGAATTTAGTGCTTTCTATCTTACTAGTACTTACTGATCGCATTGTCAGCCACTAAGATACTAGGGTGAAAACCTTGTCACCTGCGAGTTGAAAGTATTCAACGAATGTACTTCTATCAACTTACAACCTGAAAAACTCAAGTGCAAAGTTACTGTGATAATCATCATGGCTATCGTACCGTTTTCCATGCTTTGGAACAAGCAGTCGACCACAATGGTGTGTTTTGTTCAAATCCAGAAGTCCGGAATGTTGAAAATGCCATCGGCCAGTGTCCAGGATGGAAACCAACCATTCTTGAGCTGTCCAACCATAACCGAGAGCGCCAATCCCAGGAGAAAGAGCAGCGTACCGATTGCCGAATACCCGACGAGCTTGGATTGGAGCAGGGTACCATTGATTTGGTAGACGTCCTCCTTGTAGGAATCGATCTTGTCCTGCGCCACGTTTGGATCGCAGGCGTCCGTGGATTGCGCAAACGAGTCAAAGACGGCACGGACCACCAGCGGGTTGTTCCCCTTGTTGGCCCGTTCGTATGCAAGAAAGGTAATGTAGCCATTCCTCGACAGGAAATTGTTCTCGATCGGAAATTTCTCTACTATTTGCTCGATGCTCAGCTTGTTGTTGACAACCTTTTCCAGGTCCCTGACGCACAGATCCTCGGGATACCCGCAGAGCGGGCTCAGGCCCACCGTTTCGCCCCCCAGAGATGGCTCGCATCCCCTTAGAGCCCGGAGGGCCCGAAACTGCTCGTACATCCTGGGAAAGGCGCCGACAGCGATTCCCATCCCCCCGGAGGCACCAAAGAACCAGCCAAAGAACTGGACGCGGGATCCCTCGACGTCGACCAGGATTTCCGGTGGAATCGCACAGAGACGGGTGTCGGTGCTCCCCGCAGGGGAGCGGCCGCGGTGGAAACGGTTATTCGGAACCGGGCGCGCCGCCGTTCGGTGCGAGACAAAGGCGTGGCAAACCCCGTTGGAAAGGAGGGCGCAAGCGCCGAGGAGGAGAAATGCCACCAGCGAGCGAATTCGTGTCATTCTGGGCATTTTGGGCGGGTGGGTGGACCTCGCCGCAATTCTTGGTTGTGTCGGAACGACGCCTTCTTCGATGGTTGTGTTGAGCTGCCGGTGCGGACTCGTATCGGTGCCCAAGTCCCGATTGCCATCTCCGGTCGTTGGCGTTGGTCGTTGGCAGCAAAATCCGGAGAAGATACACTGCGGATCATCCTGCGAGAACGTTCAACACGGACACCGAGTCACAATACCGTAGTACAAGTAGGAGTACCGTACTCGTACTTTACATACGTACCGTGTGTGAGTTGGGAGTACGTACGTTGTACGTTGTACCTGTACAGAATTCGAATTACGACTACGTACGTACGTATGTATGTAATAGGTATGAAGCTAGGCGTACATTGTAGTACCAGAGATACGTACGTACCGGTACATACTTGTATCTATTCTCAATTCTACTTAATTCATTTCACGACTACCAGATACTAACCCGAACCCTTTTCGTCGGTACTCGTATTCAAACAGGCAAGAACAGCCAAAATCTGCCATGCCCGCGCGCATGCTGTCGAATGACCGAAGACCAGAACCTTTTTTTGGTTTTCGATGCCACATCCAGTCACATACCGTACGGGAACTGGTTCCGCAGTTTGCAAGTACGAGTACCGTACTACTGAGTACATCTATCTACTATCGTTTGAGTGCTACTAGTACTCGTACTCGCAGATCTCTTGGCCCAAAGCTCGACGCTACTACCGTCCTCGTACTTCTACAAGCTACCTGTACCATGTCCATGAGGGACAAGGGAGGGTATACCGGTACGAGCACAAACCATACCGGTAGGAAGAATTCTGGGACTAGCCGAGGTCCCATCGTCATTAGTTGGATATCAGTCACTCTTCGCTTGAGTTGCCACMAACCAGAGTGACCTTCCGCCCCTGATCCTGCTCGATCGTTCACAGCTTGTACCTCATCGACAATGGGTAACTCGGCCTCAGCTCTTCCGTTCTCGGTCGACCAGCAGGTCGGTGCCCCCCACGACCACAACGGATGGGCCCTGCACAAGGGAAAATMGACGCTCAGCTCCGACAACGGGAAGGAGGTCTCGGTGTTTGTCGGGAAGAAACCGGACCTGTCCAAGACGCCCGTGGACCGACGGCAGCCGAACAAAACCCAGCTGGAACCCGCCCTCCACCACTACGAATACTGCCGAAAACTGAGGCACCCGCACATCCTCAAGGTCTACGCCACCCTCGACACGGACAATCCGTCGGCCGCGGTGGTCAGCGGGGCTCCGGGATCTTCCTCGGGGCAGCAGCAGCCCTCGCAACAATCCGCATCCGCCGGCACCGGGGACCTCATCGTCGTGACGGAGCCCTGCATCCCGCTCTCGGAATGGCTGCTGGGGGCGGGAGCCTCGGGATCTCCACCCACACCGGAACAGCTCGCGTGGGGACTGGAGTGCGTCGTCGAGGGACTCGCCTTTTTGCACATGTCCGCAAAGCTCGCCCACGGGTGCGTGTCGCCGCAGAGCCTGTACGTAACGCCCTCGGGGGACGTCAAGCTCTGGAACTTCTCCCTGGTGACCCCCGTGGGCCCGAACACGAGCACGTCGGCCGGTGGACCCGACGGGCACTTTTTGGAATTCGAGGCCGTGTGCTGCCCCGACAGCTACCGGAGCCCGGAGCGGACGGAGCAGCGCTGGGAGGCCGTCAGCAACACGGGCGGGGTCCACGCAATGGACTCGTACTCGCTGGGCGTGCTGATTGGGGACTACTGGTACCGAACCCCAACGACTAACGCCAACAGGGTGCCACAGACCCTGCAAAAGGCTCTCCAGCGGCTGACGACGGCCAACATCAAGATGCGGCCGCGACTCCAGCCCCTGCTGAAGTGCCCCGTCTTCGATACGCAGTACAAGCAACTCCAGAAATCCCTGGAACAAATTACCATCCAGCCCGTGGAACAAAAAATCTACCTGTGGCAAAACCTGGGCAACCAGCTCCAGCAGCAAACGGGCGTGATTCCAGAGGATGTCGCCAAGTACAAAATACTGCCTCTGATCATCAGCACGATTCTAACAACCTGCGGGAACGAAAGCATGCTGGCCCAGGATATGTACCGGAGAGAAATCCTGGCGATGCTGGTTCCTCTCTTTTACATCGAGGAACACTACCAGGATCCCGACAAGGCAGGAAAGGAATTGGCACCCCTCGTTGCAAAGCTATTCATTGTGCCCGACCGAGGCGTTCGCAGTGTGCTGCTGAACAGAGTTGGGTTTTTGGCAAACACCCTCGACAAGAACGCCCTGAACGCGTCCGTCTTTGAACCACTCTGCAGTGGCTTCAACGACTCGAGCCCCGTCTTGCGAGAACTCACCCTGAAGGCTACCCAGACGCTGGTGCCGTCGCTGACGGCACCCAACCTCGAGAAATTCTCGAGGTACCTGGTGCGCCTGCAATCAGACGCGGAAAGCTCGCTACGAACGAAGGCCGTGATGTTCATCGCCAATATTGCCCCCCACCTGTCGGAGGTGTCGCGGCAAAAAATGCTGCTCCCGGCGTACGGGAGGTCGATCAAGGATCCCTTCCCGGCGTGTCGGTTGTCCGCCCTCCAGTCGCTCATGAAGTCCAAATCACTCTTCTCTAAACAAGACCTGGCGATCAAGGTGATGCCGAGCGTGATGCCCTTGTTGCTGGATCCCATGACGAACGTCCGGCAGGAAGCCTTTCGGGTTGTTCGGAACCTGCTGGAAGAAATACAGCAGGAATCCAATTTGATGACGGAGCGGGGTGACCCTCCCATCGTGGGTGCCGCGGGGAGCCAACCGGCGGGAGCGCCAGCGGCGGCCGCCGCGGCTCCAAAACCGGCCGCTCCCGCCAGTGGTTCTTCTACCAGCGCCAGCAGTGGGTACCTGTCGGGGCTGTCCTCGTGGATGAGCACTTCCACTGCTGCCACGCCGGCAGCGGCTCCTGCTGCCGCTCCCACACCGGTGCCGCCAAAGCCCGCGCCACAGGCACCCGTGCAGCAGTTTGCGGCTGCTTCGCTGAACCCACCCCAAGCGGCAGCGATCGCAGAGGATGGATGGGGCGACGACGACGACGACGACGGATGGGGCGACGACGACGACATAGATGAAAACGCAATGGCGTTTTCGAGCATTGGTGGCGGTGCTACCAACCAAACGCATCCGCCCTCCTCGACGGTGAACACTAGTGCGTCATCAATGGGTGGATTCGGTGGTGGCACGGACGACGATCCCTTTGCCTCCCTCGGAATGAAAACCGCATCCAGCGTCGCCAAGCCCCGCCTCGGTGCGAAAAAGGGAAAGCTCGTCCTGCCGAAAAAGGCGCCGCCAGCGAAAAAACTGACGATGGACTCCAACGAAATGAGCGATGGTTGGGACGACTTTTAACAAGGACGGTCCCTCGCCTACATGACTTTGTAAACTATCTATAATACCATTGAAGCAAGACGACTAGTTGTTCAAATCCTTTAGCAAGCTACAAGAATCTTTCATTTTTATTCTTGCACACTCGTTAGTGTTACTTGTTGTCCGACAGTTTTCAAGACTAATTCTAAATCATAGCCATTCGAACGATGCAGTCGTCATTCGTTCAATATGTACCTTTGCGTTGTTCAGGAGGTGAAAAGTGGAAGATTTTTTTTGTCAACACGTACTTCAAAAACTAGACAAGCCACATAAATTAGATGGAGCATGGTACCAAGCCTTTCGATCTTTGAGCTCGCAAGCAAAGGGGGCTATGTGCCTGTCTGAAGAACGCGCCCACATCGGTTCCAAAAGAAGTGACCAGTCTGCACATCTAGGGTTACCTTGAGCTCATAATTTGGGAAATTTCATTGCTACTTCTTTGTGTTCCATCAAACCTACTTATTCTAAGGATCAAGCTGCTCTTAATGGACTAACTACTTGTTATATGGTAAAAGTACAATTTAAGGGGCCACTTCGTCTTTGACGCATAATACAACATTTAGTTGTACAAAAGTATATATCAACAAGTAGAAGAGTTTCATAAGTTCTCATGATATTATGCTGATGCTTGCATCATACTGCTATGCAGACCCCCAGAACAGGGACAAGTGCAGGTATACCTACAAGAACAAGTTGCTTCTTCTTCAGAAAGGAGGTTTCTTCTTTTCTCATCTTTGAACCTGGTGTGCATGCGCATTCCTACTAGTTCTACTAGTACTAGTATGCACGAAATAACGTGTACTGAATTGTTTTAGTAGTAGTAGTATTTAGATTGTATCTAAATTAGGATTGTGAGACTAAAACTAATGAATAAAGTATCACTCGATGAATCCAGCTCCTCACACGCTTTCCCGTGTTATCACTGGATTCAGTGAGTTAGAATGAATAGAATCGATAGTAGAAATATACATCCAAGCAGTACAAGTCAAGTGTGTGTTC